CCACACACACCAGAGACACACCACACACAGCATACAACCACAGCACATACACCACACACACACAGCCCACACACACACCCCACACCACACACACCCCACACACACCACACATATCCACACCACACACAACCACATATACGTACACACACTACACAGCACACACACAGCACACACATAAACATACCACACACATAGCACACATACACACAGCACCGTCTAAGTAAGTACTCATGGGTTTTATTGGATTTTAGAGCTTGGGTAACATCCAGGACACCTGTGACTTGCTGGTCCTGAAGGCAAACTTCCTTCCTCTGTCCTAAGACCGGACCCTGAGGACAGCGCCAGCGAGGGTGCGCACAGGCCCCCCAGTGGGAGGGGTCACCCTGCTGGCACAGCTGCTTATGTTTACGGTCCCAGTGCAGGGAGGGAGGCAGCGGGCGCTTCAAGAAACATGTGCAGAAGCGCTGAGTAGCTTTGAACAGGCTGGAACACACCATATTCTTTCTCAGGGTGTTTTTTTGAGATGACGTCTAGCTCTTATCCTCCAGGCTGGAATGCAATGGCGCCATCTTGGCTCACTGCAACCTCCGCCTCCCCACTTCAAGAGATTCTCCTGCTTCAGCCTCCCAAGTAGCTGGGACAACAGGTGTGCACCACCACGCCCAGCTAATTTTTGTATTTTTAGTAGAGACGGGGTTTCACCATGTTGGTCAGGCTGGTCTCAAACTCCTGACCTCAGGTGATCCACCCACCTTGGCCTCCCAAAGTTCTGGGATAACAGGCGGAAACCACCGCGCCCGGCCTTTCTCAGATGTTAACAGAGGAAGAAAACACCAACTTTGCTGCTGAGGCGCAGGCTTGAGAATGAGCTTCACCCTAAGTTCCTTCTGGGTCCTGGTGGTCGGTCTGAGTGGGGAGAGCTGGCGTCAGCAGCCTTGGAAAGGCCCCACTCCAGGGTGGCCCCGCACTGTCGCCCGCTGCGGCTGGGAGGGCCCTGGCTGCAAATCCAGCACCTGCTGTTTCTGGGACCAGAAGGTCTCCTGAGGGCAAAAGCCACCCCCTCTCCGCTGTGTGTGAAAGGTGAACCGGAAATTCCCCTCTCCAGGAGGTCAGTGCCAGGTTCTGCTCAGCCCTCCTTCGTGGCTCCCCTGGTGGGAAGTGACCTGCCCGACGGGGCTGCGATGGCTTTACCCTGGGGCTGCCTGGACAGCCAGTCTCCCCTCGGCTCCCAGAGTCTTGTGGACAAGTGTCCCTTCACGTTCATCACCTGCAGCTGCTGCCAGATGAGAGCGGGAAGCTGGCTGGTCCTCCAGCAACGTGATGGGGACACTCAGGGACATCCTCACTTCCTGTGAGACTGGCTGCCTGGAGAGAAATGCCAGAGCGAGATGCCAGCGCCGTGCAGTCTCCACACAGAAGCCCCTCTGTCCCACCCAGTGCCTCTTTCAGCCGGCTTCGGCTCAGAAGCGAGGGAAGCTTCCCTCCCCAGGTCGCCTGCTCTGTGGCCGGGGCTCAGCTGGCTGGCCGACTCCTTCCTCACGGAAGCAGGCTGCGCAGTGCGACTGGCTCAGGCAGCTTTGCAGCCCACGTGTTTGTTGAACCCACAGGACACACAACGCCCATGGCGGGCTGAGCCGTCCACCCACGACCATGCTCTGCTGCTACATGTGCAGCCAGGCCAGCCACCAGCTGCTGGTGTCACTGTCACTATGAACTGGGATCCCTGCCCCTATGGCACCTTCCTCCCCTGGATTTGCTGCCCTTCCTCTGTGCCTGCCTTGGGCTGCAGCTGGCTGGGCTGGGGTTTGGGGTGTGTTTCCCAGTGGCAAGTGGAAGGCAGCCCAACCTGGCTCCCCAGCCATGGCCATTACCCCCACTTCCAACCCAGCGGATCTTCAGGTGGTCAGAGCGCCCAGGGCCCGGCCAGGAAGGTGGGGGGGACAGGCTGGCGCGGCCACAGATGCACATACCCTGAGCAGGTGCCTTCGGCCTGCCTGTCCTTTTGTTCTGTCCTTCTGTTTTCCCAGAGTTTTTGTAAAGCCCTCTAGAAAGGTCCAGCTTAGCTGGACGTGGAGGTGGAGGGGCTATCAATTGGCAGAGGCTGGAGGGGGACAGAGAAAGACAGAGAAGTGGTCCTTACAGCGAGCCAAAGGGTGAGAGGAGGCCCCAGGGACAGAGTGGGGACCCTTGGGCCCATCCCATCTCCAGGTCCTACTGGCAGCCCTTCTGTTCAGCCTGCGAGCAGACATCCGCTTCTGTTTGACCCAGGGGTGGCCTGACGGCAGCCGGGCCAGGCAGGGACACGGGGGCTGGGCCAGGGCTGGACCACCTCCCACCAGGGCAGGTCAGAGTTTCCAGGCCAACCCTGGGGCAGCAAGGCCAGGTCAGGGCCCACTCTGCGAGCTCCACAGAGTGGGGTGGGGGCGCTTCTCTCTCAGTGACCAGCCTGGAGGTCTCACTCCTCAGCTTTGAGTCACTGAGGCCAAAGGTAATTTATTTTATTTTATTAGTTAATTTATTTACTTTCTGTTTCACTCTTGTTGCCCAGGCTGGAGTTCAATGGCATGATCTCGACTCACTGCAACCTCCACCTCCCAGGTTCAGGTGATTCTCCTACCTCAGCCTCCCGAGTAGCTGGGATTACAGGCATGTGCCACCACGCCTGGCTAGTTTTTTGTATTTTTAGTAGAGACGGGGTTTCTCCATGTTGGTCAGGCTGGTCTCGAGCTCCTGACCTCAGTTGATCTGCCTGCCTCGACCTCCCAAAATGCTGGGATTACAGGCGTGAGCCACTGCACCCGGCGAAGGGAATTTATAGGAAGGAAGATTCATGTAGAAAGGGTCCCTGGAGGAAAGGAAGCCACATGCTGGGGCCTGGTTGTGTGGGGAAGGGAAGCAGGCCTTCTTCCCCTCTGGCCTGGCTTGTCACACACGGCAGCACGGGGCCAAACACAGCAGCAAAATGCCCTTCCCTCCGGGTTGGCGGGTGGCCGGGCTCCCATGCTAGAGGGGCCCAGGCTGACTTACTCGGCAGGCCCCTTGTGGAGCCAGGGTGGCTGGCCTGCTGGGGGCCACACGAAGAGAACGAAGGGGCCAGGACTGACACCTTTGCCTTGGGTGGCTTCCAGTTCGGTATCTCTGGAGTGCTGGGGGTGCGGGGTTTGCAGGTGAAGGCTGACGTACATTCCTTAGAACAAAATGTGCGACCTGGAGTCCCAGCTACGACATGGTTAGAAACCACAGGAGGGGCCGGGCGCAGAGGCTCACCTGTAATCCCAGCACTCTGGGAGGCTGAGGCAGGAGGAGGATCAATTGAGTTCACGACTAGCATGGCCAACATGGTGAAAACCCATCACTACTAAAAATACAAAAATTAGCTGCACTTGGTGGTGGGTGCTTGTAGTCCCAGCTCCTTGGGAGGCTGAGGCAGGAGAATCTCTTGAACCTGGGAAGCAGAGGTTGCAGTGAGCCAAGACAGGGCCATGGCACTCCGGCCTGGGCAACAAGAGCGAAGCTCTGTCAAAAAAAAAAAAAAAAAAAGAAAGAAAGAAAAAGAAACCACAGGAGGAAGGAGACTTGGGCATAGGGTGGAGGGTGGGGAAACGCAGGCGCCAATGGGCAAGAATCCCTGCACCCTGGAGCCTTGGGTCCTGCCCCACCGCTCTCCCGATGGTGAATGCACGGGAGTTCCCGGACACCTTGGGAGCCTCAGCTTCCCTGCCTATAAAATGTCTAAGGAACAACTATGAGAATTCAGTGAGGTCACCCTGGGCCCAGTCATTAGCGCCTGATAGCTAGAGGAATGGTTCTGGAGAGTAGGATCTGGGAGGAAACTGTGAGATTCTTTTGGTTTGATTTGTTTCTACATGCCTTTTTTTACATTGATAATACGTCACTTTAATAATTAGAAAAATAATACTTTCATCTGAAAAGTCTCCAAATTCAAATTAGGAAAACAGTGGTATATGAACTGCTCATACTTTAGGCAAGAAGTCTTCAAACCAGGTTCAAAAGGATAGCAGGGATTTAGCCCTACTTTTTTTTTTTTTTTTTTGATATAGTCTTGCTCTGTTGTCAGGCTGGAGTGCAGTGGCACGATCTCAGCTCACCACAACCTCCATCTCCCAGGTTCAAGCAATTCTCCTGCTGCAGCCTCCCGAGTAGCTGGGACTACAGGTGCCCACCACCACACCCAGCTCATTTTTGTATTTTTAGTAGAGACCAGGTTTCACCATGTTGGCCAGCATGGTCTCGATCTCTTGACCTCATGATTCACCTGCCTCGGGCTCCCAAAGTTCTGGGATTACAGGTGTGAGCCACTGTGTCCAGCCTTAGCCCTACTATTACACTTTTTTTTTTTTAAGTGCAACATGGCAGGATATGGTGGCTCATGCCTGTAATCCTAGCACTTTGGGAGGCAGGTGAATCGCCTGAGCTCGGGGTTTCAAGACTAGCCTGGGCAACATGGTGAAATCCCGCCTCTACAAAAAAAAGTACAAAAATTAGCAGGACACAGTGGCACGTGCCTGTAGTCCCAGCTTCTTGGGCGGCTGAGGCAGGAAGATCACTTGTGCCTGGTGGTCAAGGCTGCAGTGGGCCTTGTTCACGCCATTGCCCTCCAGCCTCGGCAACAAAGCAAAGAGACAAGGTTTCACCACGTTGGCCAGGCTGGTCTCAAAAACTTCTGACCTCAGGGGATCCACCCACCCCAGCTTGCCATTGCGCCCGGCCAGTTAAATCATTTTAAATTGTAGTAAAATATCCATACTATTTACCATCTTTTTACAGGTAGCCCTGCCATGTTTTTGGAAGGAACAACAGAAAACCTAGTAAAAATGACTCACACAAACAGCAGAACTATTCCCAGTGGTGGTAAGGGGAGGGGTTAGTACTGGGTTAGCCTGGTGTGTCCCCATCACATGGTCCTGGGGGCAGGGAGGCCAGTACCAGTTGGCCTGGGGGGCAGCTCTCAGAGGCAGCCAGTGTCCCCCAGTGTTGGAGGAGACGCTGTGCAAGTCCAGGAGGGAGAGTTGGCTTCTGTATGGTGCTTTAAAGCCAATAGGAAGCAAGGTCAAGTTGCAGGGTCAAGGTCAGCTGAGGCGAGTCAACAAGCAGCCCAAGGAAAGAAAGCCGGGCCAGCAGGGCCCAGGAATCCATAACCCTGAGGACAACCGGAAGGGGACACCATCCTTTTAGAAAGCAATTTGATAATAGGTATCAAAATCCTTATGTGATGGTTATTAAAAATATATTTTTTAATTTTATTATTTTTTTAGAGGGAGGATTTTGCTAATGTCACCCAGCCTGGCCTCACCCTCCTGGCCTCAAAAGACCCTTCCACCTTGGCCTCCCACGGTGCTGGGATTACAGACATTAGCCACCGAGCCTGGCCCATAATGGTTATTTTATTGTTTTTGAGACAGAGTCTTGCTCTGGCGCCCCATCTGGAGTGCAGTGACTCGATCTCAGTTCACTGCAACCTCTGCCTTCCAGGTTCAAGTGATTCTCCAGCCTCAGCCTCCCGAGTAGCAGGGATTACAGGCATGCGCAACCGTGTCCGGATAATTTTTGTATTTTTAGTAGAGACGGGGTTTCCCCATGTTGGCCAGGCTGATTTTGAACTCCTGTCTTCAGGCGATCTGCCTGCCTTGGCCTCCCACAGTGCTGGGATTACCGGTGTGAGCCACCGTACCTGGCTGTAATGGTTATTTTTCATGCGTCAGTTTGGCTGGGCCACGGTGCCCAGATATTCAGTCAAATATTATTCTAGATGTCTCTGTGAAGTTGTTTTTTGGACGAGACGAACATTTAAATCAGTGACTCTGAGTGAGGCAGATCACCCTCTATAACATGAGTGCCCTCATCCAGTCAGCCGAAGGCCTTAGTAGAAAAAGACCGATGTTCCCTGAGCAAGCAGGGGTTCCGCCTGCAGACGGCCTTTGGACTTGAACTGCACCTCTCCCCTGAATCTCCAGCCTGCTGGCCTACCCCATCAGATTTTCACACTTTCCAAGCCTCTCCAATCGCATGAGCCAATTCCTTAAAATCAGCCTCTCGGTTTCCCTGGAGAACCCTAACTAATATACCTTAAAATCCTGCCCCCCTCTCCCTAGGACATGACAGTGAGGGGTGGGAAAGAGCCTCCTCAGACTGGGGCATGCTCTGGCCAGCCCCTCCCACTGGCACAGGAGAAAGTGGCCCTTGGCCTGGCAGAGTCCACCCCATGAGGCCCTTGGACCACCTCAGGGGCTGCTGCAGGCGGTGGCTGTGCTAACCTAGGAGGCTGGGCCCTGCCATTGGACGCTCCAGCCGCTCTGGGAAGGACGTGGTGGGAAGTGGGGTGGATGCTGTTGGAAGGGTCAGCTGAGACCCAGATGGCCTCGGCGCCCTCCATCCCCCCCGGGCATGGTGAGCTCAGCAGCCAGGGCCAGGAAATGGCACTGATCTGGCCGGAGATGAGGCCAGATTAGGGCAGAGCAGAGAAAGCATGTGGAAAGGAAGTTCAGGACGGCAGTCACCTATGGCTTAGGGGAAGTCATGTGCTGCAGAAACGCATGGCACTGGGTCCTGGAAAACACATAAAAGGTGACAGCGGCAAAAGTTGGGAGGTGCTCTGCAAGGTGTGTGATTATTTATTAGAGCGCCTGGTCTTGTATGATCTCAGCTTATCAATAGGAACATTGTGTTGGTCAGGAAGAGCCACGAACTGCCTCGGGAGATGCTGAATCTTTCCCTGTGTTTGGAATGCTGCTGAGTCATCATCCGGCTGCCGAGAGTCACCCAGCAGAGGATCCTGTGTCCTTTCTGTTTGCATTGAGGCCAAACAAAGGCGCTCAGGGCCACTAGGTGACTCTGCTCAGCAGGTTCATAACCGGCTCTCCGTTATTGCTGTATTCATCTGGGTTACGAGAAAACCCAGAAAGGGGCGGAGGTGGGGAAACTGGGGGCAGAACAGAGCACACCAGATAAAGAGAGAGAGGAACCAGCTGCGCGCACAGCTCCCGCCCGGGGGAAACAGATCGGGCTGCGTGTCTCAAGCTCCTGGGGCTTCATGTGTCGTTTCTTTTTTTTTTTTTTGAGACAGAGTTTCACTCTGTTGCCCAGGCTGGAGTGCAATAGCATGACCTTGGCTCACTGTAACCTCTGTCTCCTGGGTTCAAGCGATTTTCCTACCTCAGCCTCCCAAGTATCTGGGATTATAGGCATGTGTCAACACACCTGACTAATTTTTGTATTTTTAGTAGAGATGGGGTTTCACCATGTTGGTCAGGCTGGTCTTGAACTCCTGGACCTCAGGTGATCTGCCTGCCTCAGCCTCTCAAAGTGCCGGGATAACAGGCGTGAGCATGTGTCGTTTCTTTAGCTGGATGCATGAATGTGTCATTGTGATCTGCTGTTCATCCTCAGCAGACAAACTTGAGGGGAAAGGCACACATGTAGACATATGTACAATCTCTTCTCATTTTAAAAAAGTCACAGTACTTGCAAAAGAATCACCTCTCATCTGTGGCAGGACAGGATCTTTGACATTTGTTTCTGATCCTGTCCTGGGTCTGGAGTGCAAGGAGCCCCTCAGACAGAGCCCCCTCCCTCCCCTGTCCTCAGGCCACATGGAGGCAAACTTCCAGGCACGAGAACACCGCACCCGGCTGGGGCTGCTATTCTGGAGTGGCAGGGCCACGCTGAGAAGGACCGACAGGTGACAGGGAAGGCCAGGTGACAGTCAAGGCAGACTTGGCATCACCTTCCTGCACATTCCAGGGTACAAGTCAGCCTTTGCCGTCTGGACTGACAATTTCATGGGGAGCACTTCGGCTTTTCGCAGGATAAATGCATTTGTTTCTTAATAAAAACATCTTTACGCCTGGCCAACATTGTTTTCTCCTGCTACTTAATGCTAAGGAGTCTAAAAAGCTGACAAAGGAAAAGGAAAATTTCACCATGGTGGGTGGGGCAAGGCAGTATATTACAGGGTCTGGACTTTTATTCCCCAGCCTCTGAGAAAGCAATTTTACAGCAAGACCAGTTGCTGGAAGTCACTGGAGCAGAGCTTGAGTGGCCATTATCCTTAAAACACCTGCAAGACAATTCAGGCTACCATTAACCCATTCCTCTGCCCCAGGGGCTTCCCGCCCATCCACCCGTTCCTCTTCTGGGTGTGAGACCTCATCTGCAAGAGCAAGACAACAGAGCTGGGGGAAGCTGAGGGGACAAACGTTCCCCACCGAAGCCACAGGGAGAAGCACTCTTTCTCTTACGTGTTCATCGACAAGTACTCTGACACCTGGGCCAGGCGCAGGAGCACAGCGAAGACGCCCTGTACTCCCTGCACACGGTGCACACTCCCTGCACACCTTGCACACGGTGCACACTC